TCAAAATGAGTTTTATTTCAAAAGCATATATTCATTACATTGTCATTTAAAAACAGAAAAAGTCATAGCACTAAATTTAAAGGCAGGCATTTGTTAGTCACATTACACAGTTACAATTTATGATACAGATCAACTTCCCTCATGTACTTCACTATCAGATGAGCGCTCACGCGGGAGAACAGATCTTTCACATTTGTTGCATCATAATGTGAGTCCCTTCTAGACGATAAGTTCACACAGTCAAGCAGAATATGCTTGATGGTGAAAACCTCACCACAAGAGACACACATGGGGGGGGGTCCATCCCCATCCGTTTTCAGCAGATAGTCATGAGTAAACCGACTGTGGCCAATACGACATCGTCGTAAAATTACCTCATCACGTCTTGACTGACAACCTTTTGCTGCAGCGTCGGCTTTTGTGTTACCTGCTATGCCCACGTGACCCGGCAACCAGCAGAGGACGATGTCACATTGGCCAGGAGAGAGGTCGTTGTAAAGTTCTAAAATGTCCAGAATGATGGGGTGACTTGAAGTAACATTTTGAAGTGCTTGAAGGCAAAATAATGAATCTGTGAAAACGATGAAGTTTCTAGAATGATTCTGCTGTTTAATATAGGTCAAAGCCGAAAAGATAGCTTTGGCCTCGGCAGTGAAAATGGAACTGTTGTCGGGAATCCAGTCTTGGATCCAATGACTGTAGAACTGGCAACTTGGCCCTCATCCTTGGATCCGTCTGTGAAAATGGATCTATGGGTGTCATACTTGAAACGTAACTGGTTGAAACGTAACTGGTTGTATTCCTGCTGGAACACCAAAGGATTTGTTTCGGACTTTTTTAGTTTAGTGAGGGTAAGATCGACCTGTGGTTTCACCATCTGCCAGGGTGGTGATGACATGAGTGCTATGATATTGAGATCAATTTTAGCTGCAGATATGTGTGGTTGAATTCTGATTCCAAGTGGTGGAAGGCTTGGTAGTTTAGGAAACAGGTTTTCATAGAGAGGGTTGAAAACACAATTGTATGCTGGATTGGACTGTTTTGAACGTAATTTAGTGATATATTGCAGTGAAATTTAATGCAGCTTTGTTCAAGGTAAGGTTCGGTAGCCTATGCATATAGACTGTCTACCAGCGAGGTCCTAAAAGCTCCCAGGCAGAGCCTCAGGCCTTGGTGGTGGATAGAATCTATTTTTTCTAAATTGCTAATCTAGTTAAGAGCGAACCAAAGATCTGTACAAGCGAAGGAGAATAGTCTGATCCTCTCCCCACTCTGTATTTGAAACGACTTTTAGTAAGTCCAGAGCCTTCAAGCACTTGGTTTTCAAATATTTTATGTGTGGTAAGAATGTCAGGTGACGGTCGAATATGAGTCCCAGGAATTTAGCCTCTTCTACTCCCTTGATGGGAGTACCATCTAAAGATAGGTCTGGAACCTTGTGTGGTTTATTTACGACAAAAGTGAATACACTTTGTTTTGGAGTTTGAAAACTTAAAGCCATTTTCATTGGCCCATTTTTGGATTTTGTTAAGGCAGAGTTGTAGTTGTCTTTCTATTGCATGCATGTTCTTACCACGACATGAAATATTGAAATCGTCCAGGAAAAGGGACCCATCAACACAACTGTTCAAGACGTTAGCGAGGCTGTTAATTTTTATGCTAAAAAGGGTGACAGACAGGGTGCTGCCTTGAGGGACGCTCTGTTCTTGGTGGAAATAATCAGACAGTGTGGAACCTACCCGTACTTGAAATTGTCTGTTGTTTAAAAACTGAGATATGAACCGAGGTAATCTGCCCCTCAATCCAAATTCATGTAAATCTTTTAAGATACCATGTTTCCACGTTGTATCGTATGCTTCGTAAGTCGAAAAAGATGGATACAGTATGTTGTTTGTTGACAATGGAATTTTTTATAAAAGATTCCAGATGGTCAATGGTACTTCGGGTTTTTTTCGGAAACCACATTGGTCTCCAAGTACCAGATTAATCGATTGTTGAGCGTGCGCTCCATGGTTTTACAAACACAGCTAGTGATATAGGACGGTAGTTTGATCCCGGCCAGGTTTTGGTATAGGGATGATAATGGCATCGTGCCACGAAGGAGGAAAGTTGCCGGTTGTCCAAATGTCATCAAATATATTGAGTAGTGTTTCCAAAATTCAATCAGGGAGGTGTTTGAGGAGCTGATAATGAACGTAACCAAAAAGTGGAAATAAAAAAACCGAATAAATAAATAATTTCATTATCAACATTTAGTAAAACTGACAAAATTCACAAACATGATTTATTTATTTCATGAAATGTATATGGACACATTTTTAAAGGAATTGTTTTGTTCATTGAATTTGTTTATGTTGTTCTATCGACAAGTTATAGGCGTATAATCGTTGGCCAGGTGCGCGTTTGTTACAAATGTTTCACTATCAATTCCGTGAACAAAACATAACAAAGATAGTATGTCCTTACCCACAGCAAATTCTCTCCAAGTGATCTGAGTTACAATGACTTTGTGTTAAGCATAGCGGAGTGATGCCCCCTTATCTTTATAAGCGTATGACCTTTTTACAGTCATTGACGTCATAGAGGAAAATCCATTTTCAACACATATTGCGAGTCGTTTTTTGACATTGAGTGTATGCGTTATACATAAGTACACAAACCAATTTCATATATACTTATATCGTTTAGATATCAGATAGTATTTTGTTTGTTCACACTTCCCGAAAGATGCCAAATTAACAAGAAAAAATTGTGTCCAGGGACGCGGATGCCCCCGCTGACATTCATAAGACATATAAAGATCAATAATTGAACAAAATTCACGAACAAGTATAAGCTTAATCAATTCTGTTGAGCAGTTTTTGTGGAGAAGTTTATGCCCTATTTCACTATCATCAGAGAGAAATTTAATAAAATATATTTAAGTTCAAATGTCTCTAAACATAAAAAACCCCTATAAAATACAAAAACGAAATATGAGATGCACACCTTTAGAGTCTCTATTAAAGACATATGTAAGCTAAATGAGTTTTGTGCAGTTGTTTTTGAGAAGAGGTGGATAGAGTACACCCCCTGTTGTATGGGACGAACAGGATGAATAGAACCAAATTCAACTAAGTTCAAACATCTGTAGAAGTGACAAAATTAAGAAATTGGATGAACAAGGTATGAGATGCACACCTTTAGAGTCCAAATAAAACACACGTAGAAGCTCAATCAATTCTGTTGAGCAGCTTTTGTGGAGAAGTGGATAGACTTCATCCCCTATAACACTATATTCAGAGAGAAATTCAACAAAATTTATGTAAGTTCAAACGGCATTAAAATTGGAAAAATAAATAAAATACAAAATCAAAATATGAGATGCACGCCTTTAGAGTCCCTATAAAGCACATGTGTAATCTAAATGAATTCCATAAAGTAGTTTTTGAGTAGAAGTGGATAACGTACACCCCCTGTTGGATGGAACGAACAGGCTGAATAGAACAAAATTCAACTAAGTTCAAACATCTGTAAAAGAGACAAAATTAAGAAATTGCATAACAAATTATGACATGCACACCTTTAGAGTCCCTACAAAAGACATGTAGAAGTTCATTCAATTCTGTTGAGCAGTTTGTGTGGAGAAGTGGATAGACTATCATCAGAGAGAAATTCAGCAAAATGTACCTGAGTTCAAATGTCTCTAAACTTACAAAAAAAAAAGAATAAAATACAAAAACAAAATATGAGATGCACACCATTAGAGTCCCAAGAAAGCCCATGTATAAGTTCATTGAATTCCACAGAGCGTTTTTTGTGGAGAAGTGGATAGAGTACATTCCCTGTTTCGTAAGGACGGACACGGAGGGTAACCCTATATGCATAAAAATATAGTAGCACAGTAAAAAGCGGAGGAATTTACTATTTTGAACGGATAACAAAATTCGGGATGACATATAGCAGTGTCTATTTTTCACTTGAGTTTACACTATGGGATAGGCAAAGTACTGTCGGAAATAGAAAAAAACTTTTTTGGGCTGTTACTCTGTATCCCTAAAATTTACACAATTGCAAATAGCATATGTTGAAATAACCCACATCGGCCTAACTGGGCGTTCAGTGGGATGCGTAATAGGATATCCAGAAAAGCATGTTTACTCGTAAAATCGGGCAAAACTTAGAAAAAATACGAATAGCTGCTTAAAACAATAGATCAGACTATAGATGACAATTAGGTCGCTCGGCCAGGTATGATGACGGACCGTTCTACATTTCTGCGTAATTTTATAGCTGTAGGTAGATCCAGTGCTGCGCAAACGAAATTCAACGTTAACTTTTCGGAAGTTAATGACGCTCTAATGATACCCCCAGAACCTTCATTAATGACGCGCTAAGACAACACGACGCCATTAAAACCTTAGTACAACAGAATTTTAATGACACATTACATAATGAAAGTTTAATGGCACGTTAATGCTTCATTAAATTCGATACAACCGGGTCCTGAAAAACAAGAAAGAAACAAATATAGCGACACACAAAGTACGGAATATCAGCATTTTGTGCAAACCAAACCCTTGAAGATCCGAGTTAGAATTGGTCTTCAGTAACCCATTCTTGTAAGAGGCAACTAACGGAATCGGGTGGTCAGGCTCGCTGACTTGGTTGACACATGTCTTCAGTTCCCAATTGCGCAGATTGATGTTAATGTTGTAGCTCACTGGATTGTCTGGTCCAGACTCGATTATTTACAGACCGCCTCCATATGGCTGTAATATAACTGAGTACGGCGTAAAACTAAACTCACTCACTCACTCATTGTGCAAACCACGTGTTATTCCTCGGTGTTATCAGTACTGCACCAGCAACCCGGATGTCATAGTGCCTGCAAGACGGTACAGGTGCAACGTTGCACTGGAAGTCCATTGGTTGTAGCAGTGAGCACTGTCTACAACCCCTTAACTATATTTCCATTTATAGCCGCATGCCAGGTCGTATAATCTCGAGACATGTTTGTCTTATCTGACACAATGTTATAGTAAGTGTGTACGTGTGTGCAGGTCATGCTTGAGAACTGACAGACTGCATCCGGTATATACATATGATATAACCAGCTAGGTTGGTGTTAGTTCAAGAAGGGTACACAATGCTGAAGTACGGCTTGACTTTACTAGGTAGGTATATAGATGTTTTATATGACAGTGTTTCGTTTGTTCGTTGTTTAACGCCGTGTTTTTCATCTGCAAGATTGCGATCTGTAAATGATCGAGTAAGAACTAACAATCAAGTGATAGACATCGCTAGCATCGATCTACGCAATTGAGATACGATGACACGTGTCAACCATGTCAGCGAGTCTAACCACCCGATCCTTTGGTCGTCTCTTACGACAATCTTTATACTTATTGTAGTTTTTTTGCTTCAGTAAGCAGATTCCATTCTCGTTTCTGTTTTATGTGAGCTTTCTTATTTCTTCATTTTATATGATTTAGTTTTATCATGTTTATCGAAGCATTTAATATAATATTTATCTTTTGGGAAACTGTTGGCAATCTATAGCCTGTTTTTATATTGTATTGTCATTTATAGTTCCAATATTTTAGATTTAATTGCTAGTTTTAAATGGATATCTGTGATACACTAGTAGTTTTACTGTTCTTCGTCAACAGGTTTTTTAATGTCCTACTTTATTGATCTATAATATAATTATAAACTGTTCTCGTCACGATATGGCTGGAATATTGCCGATGTGACGATAAATATTAACTCACTCACTCACTCACTCACCTTTGGGAAACGGATAACATATTTTGTTTTCTCTGAAGACACGTTTTAAAAAAACATTTCATGAAAAACAGGAGTTATCTTCCCCTCTTCGTCTTATCCGTATGCCCATTTTGTACCTAAATATGTCTTCTTAGGGTTTTATTGCTCTCCTTATGATTTTGAGTGAGTGAGTTAATATTTAACGTCACATCGGCAATATCTCAGCCACATCGTGACGAAACCAATTTATACAATAAAAAGTGAAAACATTTTGAAGATTAAAACCTGTCGACGATGGACAGTAAAAATACTAGAAAATCACAGATATAATATAAAACTAGAGAGCAAAGTTAAAACATATCAATTATGGAAGACAATGCAGTCTGAAACACGTGCTATAGATCGGCAACAACTGAAGGTATGATTTTGATGCAAACGGAAGTGAATTATAAAAATGTCAGTACAGGCAATGGGAACTTTGTTGCTCTGCATACGAAGGCCTTAAAACATGAAGCTGGATGAATTATTTAGTTCAGACTCTATGGTTTGGGAGACAGAATATGTCTCAACGTTTCTTGATAGCAGGTATTATTTATCACAATATGAATCACTGGACTGTCTGATCCAGACAGTATGATTTAAAGGGTGCCTTTGTATAGCTGATGTATTGCTGAATACGGCGTTGAACAATTGTTTGTAAAACCTACGTTATTAAGCACAGACAGTGATGCTCAAGTTGAAAACTTTTAATAAAATTTGTATATAAAATATATATGCAATACATCCAGCCATAATCTCGCGTCACAGACCAACACACAGTATCGTTATATGAACCTGTATAGCGATAACCATTATAATGAAATGTATAAACCTTAAATAACAGAAGTAACAGACAATGCAAGGGTGAGTAGTTTCGTATCACTGGACTGTGCTTATAACTACTGTTTCTTACAATAGTAATCACTTGAATGTCTGGTCCATACTGTGTGATTTACAGGTTGCCGTCGTGTAGCTAATATATTGCTGATTAAGGCGTTAAACAACAAATAATGACAAAAGGGTAATCGAAGGCTTCAGTCCTTACGTTCACTTCCTTACCTATGTTTCAGCGCTGCTGTCTTGTATTTGCGCCAAGACCGCCATATATGAGTACACGTGTTTCGGCTACTCTGTTATTGACGAGCACGAGGTGGTCTCGGTGATCAGATGTAACTCCACCGACGTCTTCGACCCCACCACTAATAGATGTGTCACGTGAGTGTCGTTTCACAGACATTCATAAACAACAATCCTTGAAACAATCTGGAGCCTGTTTCACAAAGCTCTCGTAAGCTTAAGATTCATTCGTAACTAGTCGTGTCTTTCCGGCAAGCCGGATGGCGTCTTGTGGCCATGTTTACGACTAGGCCCTGTCTAAGCCCAAACGGGCACGGAGATGAAAATAGTCTAGTACTAGTACCAAGGAAAGATAACTCAGAATTTCCAAACATGGCTACTCCAAGAATATCCTATAGCTATATCCCGTGGAGAAAACAACTATACAGTCATTCCCTTTTGTAAGTATGTTTTAGTGTTGAAAGTTGCTGATCCTTTAGCTGAAAGTTTATGTTGAAATTGTGCTTTGCATAGTTAGCGAGGTTTCAAAGTTCAATGGTGCCGCCATTTTCGGGCTTCGAAATGCGTTTTACTACGCGCGATTTGATTGGTTTGCCACGATTCTTGGCAATAATGGCGTACGATAGGGGTACGAGTCTTCTTGTAGGTCACGGAAAGAGGTGAGTAGTTACGAATGCATAAGATCTCGTAACCTTTCTCGTAGCATTCCTACCGCATATACTGTAACATTGACTTTAGGATAGTCGTAGCGCTACGAGGGCTTTGTGAAACGGGGCCCAGGAAAGGTATTTCTCGATTGCCTGCGCAGCATATCTCTCAACAGGTTCTATTGCGGACATATGAAAGAAGTATTTAACACACTGGGTGACAAAAACCGTATTTCGACCTATACTGTCACAATACTGTTTCGTGTGAACCATTTACCTGCCTTTGGGTTTGTTTGAGTTGTGTCTGTTTGGCATAGTTTTCAACAGGTTCTATTGTGGACATATGAAGGAACTAATTAACACATACAGGGACAAAAATGACGTTCGATGGCATATCGTATTTCGAGTTGTACTATACCATTTCTGTTTGTGTTAACAATGGACTTGCCTTGCATTTGTTTGTGAGATGTGTCTGCGCAGCAAAGCGTTCAGCAAATTCTATTGTGGACATTTGAAGGCAGATTCCGTATTTGACACATTGGGGCAAAAATGAGTGAGTTAGTAATTATTTATCGTCACATCGGCAATATTTCAGCCATACTGTGACGAGAACAACCTATACGTTAATCTTAAATAAATCTATACCATCAATCGTCAAAGGACAATATAAATACCAGAGTATCACAGATTTGGATGACACTGACATTTTTGCCGCCAACACCAGCAATCGCGGAAGAGAAAAATTGATGGAGGCCATCTGGATCCACCGCGCCAAACCTGAAATTAACAGGGATCAAGGTGTTTTCCTACCGAATGCTTGATGCGTAGAACAGTAAGCTTTCAATGTACATGTTTTATCGATCGTTTACCCACCACCTATTGTTCTAGGCGGGCAAATCACTGAAGCAGAATGCTGCTACACAATAGATGTCTCTTAGTTTTGCTCCCCGTGAAATAAGGTCCCTCCATTATTGCTCCCTCGTGAAATAAGGTCCCTCCACCATTGTGATTCCCATAAGGTGTGACAAATACATGTAGAAAATCAATTTATTTCTGTGTTCAATGCTGCACAAATATACAATTCATTTCATCCATTTCACACATTTCATACATTTCATACAATTCAATACTCTGTTAAATGAGAAACTGCGTTTTATCCCATGTTCCCCTTAATCACTGTACATGCTTTGATGTGTGTTTTCATATGTGTGTTTTCCTATCATTGTTTTCATAAGTGGCTTCCAATAAATCATGTCATGTATATCCTATCCTTTTTGTTGTATAAACACTCTGTACATCCATTGCATAAATATACGAAATAATCTCTTTGAACTCTGTACATCTCAATCAAAACACATCGCTTAATCTATTTGATCTCTGTACATCTCAATCTGTAATACTATCTCACTGGCTTCCTGTACATACTATATATTTTGCTGGTAATCTTATTCTGTCATTCACCGGATGAAGGGGCAAGAAGTAGCCCAGAAACGCCGTGTTGTAAATATTAATGAAGTTGTAAATCCATACCATACGTTGTTATGTTACATTCCAACTTCTAAATGCCCATCAAACACCTATCACAGATTTGGTTTAAAACCAGCATGTTCTAATAAGAGGTATCACTACAGAAAACAATACAATATAAAATGGGTTAAGATCGCCAGAAGCCAAACTTAGTCACCGCACTAGGAACCATGTGGACTGACGGTACTTTTGCTACCTGCATGTACCCTAGCTGGATATACACCATCCCTCATCCCTTATTGCAAATTAAAATGAGTTTTAACGTTCGACTTGTACTGTTTCGAGTTAACACTTGACCTGCCTTTGCATGGGTGTGTGTCTTGTGTCATGGGAGTGGCATAATACGAACACCTGTCACGAACGCCTGGTAGTGAGTGAACGAGAGAGTATGGTTTCACGCCGCTTTTACCAATATTCCAGCAATATCACGGCGGGGGATACCAGAAATGGGCTTCACACAATGTACCCATGTGGGGAATCGAACCCGAGTCTTCGGCATAACATGCGAACGCTTTAACCACTAGGCTACCCCGCCGCCCCTGAACGTCTGGTAGGGACGGTGGGGTTGTCTTGTGGTTATAGCGTTCACTTTACAGACTGAAGACCCGGGTTCGTTTCCCCATTTGGGTACAATGTTTTAAGCCCATTTCCGGCCCCTCCCTATCGTGATGCTGCTGGAATATTGCGAAAAGCGACGTAAAACTAAGACTCACTCATCAATAATTGTTTTCTACGTCAAAGGGAATCGGGCGTTTACGTGTTGTATATTGTAACTTCAGCCCACAGAAAGGCAACTGGCCATGCACGGACGTAGTGGACTGTAGCAAGCTGCCCGACAAGAGATACGTGGACGTCGACAGCAAGGACCACACTGGGAAGTGCAAGACATACTACACCTGTCACAACGGCTACTTCTACGGCCACAACTACTGTCCCGGGGGTGAGTGCCTGATAATGTGGTTTGGTTTGGTTATTCTTTAACTCCGCGCAGCAATATTCAAGCTATTTAGCGGCGGTCTGTAAATAATTCTTTTGGGCCAGACAATCCAGCGAATCTGACAACCCGATCCCGTTAGTCGCCTCTTACGACAAGCATGGGTTACTGAAGATCAATATTCTAACCCGGACCTTCATGGGTCGTGTATATCAGTGACAAGTACATATCAGTTTGATGTTGACATGTGTGCATCATATGACCTATCCCACCGGGTGCCCATTCACTGCTGGCTGACCACTGGCAATATTAAACTAACGGGATCAGGTGGTCAGGTTAGCTGACTTGGTGGACATTGTCTTGTCCAGATTCGATTATTTACAGACTACCGTCATGTAGCTGGAAGAAGCTCAGTATGGCTTTAAGCAGCAAGCGAACAAACTCATGCGTTAGAACTACTTCCTTAGCTGCTTGGTAATTGTGAATGAGATTCCGATCGTCACCTGATGTTGTTCTGATTTCAGTGCTGGTGTTCAATGAAGAGCGACAGTACTGTGATTGGGAGTATGACGTCAAGCCACCATGTGGAAGTTTGGCTACAGTCCTGGGATGAAATTGAAATAAATATGAAATTTTCCATTTATAAACTGACTTTCGTGCTGTGTGTGACGTCATTAGCCAAATTTCACGTCAGGCGAATCCGATTTGGGGAAAGTGAGCACACACACTTTTAGGGGTTTTTAACTTCAATAAACGCAAAATATATGTTGAAATACATTCTTCATAATCGACTAGTTAAGGAAAATAACAGTGTGTTACGAAACAGTACTAGTGACATCTTTCAGCGCATAACTGCATCACAAGCACTCTCCACTAAAACGGAATACTTCTGGTGAAGTCACGTGCAATGTATTTAAAGAATTCTGTTAGTGTTTGTTCAAACATCTCCATTAAACTTAAGAAAGAGCCTCTTACTTCATTTAGAGATTTTGTGTATTGGTGGTGATGTTGGGGCGAGTGAGTGAGTTTAGTTTTACGCCGAACTCAGCAGGGCGGTCTGTAAATAATCGAGTCTGGACCAGACAATCCAGTGAGCAACAGCATTAACATCGATCTGCGCAATTGGGAACCGATGATATGTGTCAACCAAGTCAGCGAGCCTGACCACCCGATCCCGTTAGTCGCCTCTTACGACAAGCATGGGTTACTGAAGATAATATTCTAACCCGGACCTTCACGGTATTGAAGCATGAAAGCGATAGGTCTGGTGAAATCAAAATTTAAAGAAAGAGTTTGTTCAAACATCTCCATTAAACTTTAGAAAGAGCCTCTTGCTTCCTTAAATGCTTTTGTATTATGATGAAATTGGGAGCCAGGAAAAATACTGCGGTTCGGCGACTGGGAGATGCTACAACTGAATACATGTTGAAACATCACCACTCTTTAGTCAGTGTGCGAAATAGTTTCAAAATGTTGCTAGCGAGTCGGGCCAGCTTTGCCTGAAAGTTACTTTGCCCACAAAATAATTCACTTGTCCGTAATTTGAATGTAGATACGCGTTTCAGCATTAAGCTACTGATAGGAAGAACATTTTTATCAGGTCACAGTCTTGCATGATTTAAAAGTGTGTTATGATTAACAAGTCGGAGAGAGTGATATATTTCCAAAATGACCCAATGAAAATTCACTAGCCAGTCGGGCCAGTGACTGTGGAGGTTTACTGACCCGACTGGAGTTTTACTAGCCACGGGCTAGCAGCCAGTGGCTATTTCGCACACTGCTCTTTGGTTCTTTAGTTTGTACCACACAGTTGGTGAAAAGAATTGTTACATCGTGTTGAATGTGCAACCCTATTCAGATTAATGGATAATCCCCCGCGACACAGTCTCCAGACTGCGAGCCGATTACTCTTTGTACCATCCAATGCCTAGCGCCAGACAGGGTAACAATTACCATCTCTAATGCCGTTTGGAAGGGGACCGGGAATCGAACCGCAGACTTTTTGCGCTGTGGACAAAGCTTAATGCACTAGACCAAAGAACAGGGTAACCTAGACCGACACTTAGTCTCTGAATGTCTCTAGACACGAAAAAAGAAGCGACAGTGAGGTGGAAGTTTCAGAACCTGACGAACTCTAGACTGCCTCATTTAGCGCTTTAGCATTGCAGAGGCCTCGCGGAAGGGTAAAATGTTCAGGGACTGTGAGACAGACTAAACGCAAAGGTCATGTCCGGAATCTTAAGACTGAAAATGAAAACAATCTATCTCCATTTTACAATCATCGAACCGAAATATATAATTGAACTTTTTTCAGTAGTCGGGTTAGAAGAAAATCCGGGTTAGAATTGATCTTCAGTAACCGATGCTTGTTGTGACAGGCTACTAACGGAATCAGGTTTTCACTGGTCAGGCTTACATTAGTTGAGAGAAGGTTAAGAGAAATTAATATGATTTGGAAACCCACCCAAGCTTCCCACGGCACTGCGACTGGACCGACAGTTAACATGAAATAACGTTTTATCCGACATAATAGATGAACTCCGTACTATTTGATTTAATCCAGCTGATGTATGTCAATTGAGCGTTATCAATTCTATAAGAAAACAAAACTTATCCGCTGAAATTGCAAGCTGAAAGATAATTTGTCTGGCATTTCTCTTTAGATTTTGGTACTGATGGCGAAGATGTTTGCGCTGGGAATCTGTTTCGGGAGGTGCTAAAGACTGATTGTTCTCTTGCGCTTAGGCTGTATATTTTAAGACACTTTTTCGACGTAACCATAGCTTAATCAGCAGATTCATCTGTGAGCCATGCCCTTGGAGTATGTTTGTTCCTGTGTCTTTCTTGACGCCGCACTCAGCAATTTTCCAGCTGTACGCTTTTTTCGTAAATAATCGCGTCTGGACCAGACAATCCATTGATTAACAGCTCGCGCATCGATGAATTGGGATACGATGATATGCGTCATTCAAGTCAGCGGACCTGATCATCCGATCTCTTAATCCAAGAAGTATGGGTTGTTGCATACTAATTCTAACGCGCATCGTCAACAACAAATTATCCAATACAGACTAAAAAAACAGAGCCCACTTTTATCTTGCAAACACCAAAGACTATGATGTTGAGAAAACTAACATATATCGGTACTCAATTTTGTTTGAAATATCTAACTTTGTATTCTAGACATTTACAACTCAAATTTAATATGAGACGTTTGATTACAGGTATCGAATTACTGCAGACATCTCTTTTTGCGACTTGTTTGATTGCTTAATGCAATATTTTAACTAAATAACGTCGGTCTGTAAATAACCGAGCCTGGACCAGACAGTTTATGACTGACATCAGTGGCATCGATCATACATTGGCATGTCTTTTTTCTAAACCACCGATTAGGCTTGCCACGTTTTTAATCGTAGAATATGTGTGTTTTTAATTTATGGCTAGATTTCTCTTCTGTCACCAATGGCTGAAGGGATGGTGTAAATCCAACTAGGGTCCATGCAGGTAGCAAAAGTAATGTAAGTCCACATGGTCCCTGGTATGGTGATCTACCTTCAGTTTTAGGCGATTTATAGCCCATTTTTATACTGTATTGTTTTTCCCCTATAGTTAAAACGTTTTAGATTTAATTACTATTTTTACATACATATCTGTGATATTCTAGTTGTTTTACTGTCTTCGTCGGCAGTTTTTTTTTATAATATACATATATTTCATTTCAATATCAAATGTTCTCGTCACGATATGGCTTAAATGTTGCCGATGTGACGTTAAATATTAACTCACTCACTCACTCTAAACCACCGAATCCCGTTGGTCGACTCGTACGACAAGCATGAAGACCAATTGTAATTCATGTTCACAAGTACGTGTTTAAACCATGCTTATTTTTGTGTCCTAGAGAAAAATGACACATTATTGTTCGGACCACATGCATGTCTGTAAATAACAGCTCTCTCTCTCTCTCTCTCTCTCTCTCTCTCTCTCTCTCTCTCTACACACACACACCGGTCGAGGCCTCACCACGACCTCCAGATACCACTATCGGCATGTCTGTGAATATTTTTGTTAAATAGCATATGTTGACCTTTGGCAGGACAAGCCTTTCCATGCGATTGCAAGTGCTGGCATGTGGACTCACGGAATTTTAATATTCAGTAAGTTTTTAATGTTTTGTTGTTAGATAAAAGGTCTTGAACCTTAGATAAGTACCGTGTTTAAGTTTTGGAAGTGCACATTTGATACTGTCAGTGTGACCTAAGAATTACGACATGTAAGTCCTGGAAGGTCGATGGTCTTGTTCGGACCACATGCATGTCTGTAAATAACAGCTCTCTCTCTCTCTCTCTCTCTCTCTCACACACACACACACACACACACACACACACACACCGGTCGAGGCCTCACCTCCCCTGGGAAGGTTCTATGTTGTTGAGATCGAGCCAGTCTGAGAAGAGTTGACACCCTAAATAACCCTTCAGACACTGCAGGGGGATTTAACATGGGTGCCCTCTTTGGAACTTTAGAAAGATTTAACATGGACATCCTCTTTGACACGACAGAGAGATTTAACATGGCTACCTTCGTAGACACTGTAGAGAGATTTAACATGGATAGGCTCTGTAGAGAGATTTAACATTGAGTGAGTGAGTGAGAGTTTAGTGTTATGTCGCACTCAGCAATATTCCAGCTATATGGTGGCGGTCTGTAAATAATCGGATTTGGACCAGACAATCCTAGGATCAACAGCACGAACATCAATCTACGCAATTAAGTGAATGAGTTAGTTTTACGCCGCACTCAGCAATATTCCAGCTATATTGCGGCGGTCTGTAAATAATCGAGTCTGGACCAGACAATCCAGTGATCAACAGCATGAGCATCGATCTACGATGACATGTGTCAACCCAGTCAGCGAGCCTGACCACCCGATCTCGTTAGTCACCTCTTACGGCGAGCAGATTTAACGTAGAAGACGCCGTAGAGAGATTTAACATGGCCACACTCTTAGACACGACAGAGAGAGAGTTAACATGGATACCTTCGAAGAGATTTAACATGGATGCCCTCTTACACACTGTGGAGATATTTAACATGGATACCCTCTTAGACATTGTTGAGATATTTAACAAGCCTACTAGACATTGCAGACGACTTAACACTTCATACAGATTTAGCACATAAAAATAACATAAACGACCAAGTGGCTATCCGACTATTGAAGTTGTGCAATTTTAAAACTGATCGTGTCACCATAAGCCGACAGTGAGAACCGGTGCCCATACTATTAACCACCAGATTTGCCGTGATAAAACTGTGTAATGATGCCGAATGCTGTGTAAACAAGCACTTCCTGTGACGACTGTTGCAGGTGCGGCGTTGTTGTTGGTGTGCGGCAAGCATGATGTGTTCGAGTACACGTGCTTCAGCTACAAAATCATTGATGAACATCAGCAGGTAGTGCAGATCAGGTGCAACTCTACCGAGGTGTTTAGCCCTGTGGATGCCAAATGTATCAAGTAAGTCTCTTATTAGGCCGAGTGAACAGGGTGCACATTGCTTACAAAATGGAACGGTTTGACGTTACAAGATATTCCTACTTATAAACTGAATGTGGTGTGTGTGTGTGTGTGTGTGTGTGTGTGTGTGTGTGTGTGTGTGTGTGTGTGTGTGCGTGCGTGTGTCACTGTGTGATGGTACTTGTCCAGACTAATGCCAGTTTTACGGTGCTAGTGCACTGATACGTTTCCGACTTCCAACTGATTATCATTTGCCGCACCAGACTGACCTAAAAACTGGTAGAGAGCTACAAAGAGCGTCAGAATTGCTTATCTAATAAGTCGCTAATACCGGGTGCATGTGTAATAAGATCACTTTATCAGCAGTATCCCAACTGTGTGTATTATCAGAGAAGGCAATCGATGATGAGCCTGCCACTCTGATGATCCATTCTATCTGTCCACAAACACAAACCCCCACTCAAGGTGAGGGGGGTATGGTTCACGAGGCAGCAAACCAGCAGGTAAAAATATGTTAGGCTCCTCTCATGAAAACATGGCTATGAAGGCAAATGTCGGCTGACAAAAGAATTACGAACCACAGTGCCAGAAAGCATATGATACAATCCTTGACAAGCAATGGAATCCCAAGATACCGGGTTATGCAAGTTTATGGTCACAAAAACATTTAATCCATAAACATGTACTCGAGATTCACTGAGGAACAACACGTGTCAAACATTCTGTCGTCTAACACCACTTCAAACGCACTCGGGGCGGTGGGGTAGCCTAGTGGTTAAAGCGTTGGCTCGTCACGCCGAAGACCCGGGTTCGATTCCCCACATGGGCACAATGTGTTAAGCCCATTTCTGGTGTCCCCCGCCGTGATATTGCTGGAATATTGCTAAAAGCGGCGTAAAACTAAACTCAGTCAGTCAAACGCACTCAGTCCAGTCATCCCATCAGTTGCTCCTGAATGTCGGTTTTCCCGTCCTTCAAATGAAAGTATGCATCCTCATCCGGCATCAATCGCCATGTCTTCCCAAAAGTACGCCATTGACACACAAGCATGATTCAGACACTTTCCGCTCGGCCAATATATGGGGGTCTCTTCAATATCACCGTTGGCGGCGAAAAAACTCGCAAATGACATGTAGCAGGTGTCAGTCCAAAGGGTCGACGCATTCTCCCAGTTGTCGAGTCAAGCCCTGATTCTGACTGATAAATTTCCTGTTTACATTTAGGCTATTTCCTGTTGATGCGACCTGAACTGATTCAAAAGTTCGGGGTTTCTTCAAACTTTTCATTTCTTTTACTGACGGTCGAAAGTTTGACAATCCAATAAAACCAATTTCTGAGCTGACTTGGAAACTTTGTTGTAGATTATGTCTGCATGACCACGTTGTCCAGCCCTGTTTCTGACCGAATATCTATGAACTTTTCACTCTCCCCATTTCCCTATCCATTTGTTTCTTTCTCAATGCATCCAATTCTCTCTCGCTCTATCCATTTTTCTAGCATTCCTCTCTGTCTATACAATCATTTCTATCTGCCTCTAGCATTTTTTCTTTCTCTCTATCCATCCATTTGTTTCCACATATATATCCATTTCTCTCCAGATCTGTCCATCCTTTTTCTCTCTATCCATTTTCTCGCTTTGAGTACATTTTTTTATGTATCTCTCCATCCATTTCCTTCTTTCTATTCATTCTCTATTTCTTTCAGTCAATCCATTTCTCTTCACATCTTCTCCATCCATTTTTCTCTTGATCCTGTTCTCAATTCTCTTTTTCTATCTTTCCATTTCTATTCAATTTCCTTTCTATCCATTTCTCACTGAGAGTGAGTTAAAATTTAACGCCACATCGGCAATATTTCATCCATATCGTGACAAAGAACAATTAATCTTTACATAGTAATTAATGTTAAACTGTAAAACCTGTCAACGAAGGACAGTAAAATAACTAGATTATCACAGATTCGAATTTAAAACTAGTAATTAAATCTAAAACAGTTTAACTATAGATGACAACTTCTACAAGGTAAAAACAGGCAAAATATTGCAATCACTGAAGGTAGATAACCATACTAAGGAGCATGGGGACTTACAGAACATTTGCTTCCTGCATGGACCCTGCTAGGATTTACACCATCCTTCAGCTAATAGCAATGTTAGATAATCTAGCCACAAATTAAACGGACATTAAATGGTAGTAGGTTTAGATTTACTTTGCATGGTTTGGGACTTGCGGTTCTTTCTCAGATGCTTCTGCACGTAAGTCCCAAGTCAACAAGCTAATACCTGCAATTCAATTCGGTGTCACTCTCGGCGCACACAAGGAAATATTCCATAAGCAATGGCAAGAAGAGTGTGTACCATTGTTTTGGATGTGGAACAAGAAAAAACTATTCTTAGAAGAATTAAAAACCTATACTCAAGTACAAAGATATCCATGTGGAGTAGTTAAAGTTCTGTACATAAAGCAATAAAGACATACAAGACATACTCGCTGACTTGGTTGACACAGGACATCGTATCCCAATTAGGGCATCCATTGTTTTATGTGTTTTACGTAGCGACCATATTTTCAACACATGGGTCAGTCGGTCGGGGAATAAAAACTATTAAAAATTAACAAAGACAAAATTATCCAAAAAATGTTCTTGATTCTCATTTATTATAATTCCTATTACAATTCCTCGCGTTCTTTGGACTAGTGGCATCGACTTCAGGATTATTTTTTGCTTGTTTTGTTTCTTGGTTTTTCTCTGGTTTTTGGGGTGTGTCAGGCGATGAGATACTCAAACAAGAAAAATGCTGCCCTTACGTAGATCAATGCTCATGCTTTTTATCGCTGAATTGTCCGAGACAGTCCAGACCGCCTCCATTGAGCTGGAATATTGCTGAGTGCGACGTACGCAAGAAACAAATGAGAAAGGAGGAAGTTGCAGATAAATTTCCAGTCTCTCCATCCCGCATAATACTGAACTTCCCCTGTTTGTTTTCGCAGACCCGAGAAAACAAATGGCCGTGTGATACAGACATCGACTGCCACACAAAAGGAGACCAGAAATATGCGGACACGAAGGAAGGATGTAAAACGTATTACACCTGCCTTGGAGGAGTCTTCTTTGGTCACAACTACTGCCCGGGGGGTAAGGCAAACTTCTTTTAGTGAGTGAGTATGGTTTTACGCCGCTTTTAGCAATATTCCAGCAATATCGCGGCTGGTACATCATAAATGGGCTTCATACATTTTACCCATGTATGGAATCGAACCCGGGTCTTCGGTGTGACGAGCGAACGCCTTAACCACTAGTCTACGCCACCGCCCCAAAACTAGTTGTTGCCGAAAGACGCAGGTATCACCTCAGAAACCAATAAACCAACACATCACATGGTTTTGTCATCCCAGTTTGTTCAAGAAGTTCCAATACGACGGCTATGCTTAAAAAGGCGACTAACGGGATCGGATGGTCAGGCTCGCTGACGTATCGCATTTGCATCGCATTTGCGTAGATCAGTGCTCATGCTGTTGATCACTGGATTGTCTGGTCCAGACTCGATTATTTACAGACCGCCTCCATATAGCTGGAATATTGTCGAGTGTGGCGTTAAACAACAAATCAACCAACCTAAAAATAACGTTATTGGAAATAACGCAACGATTCTTGATGAAGGTGTACCAGTTAGAAGTGAGCATCAACAAATACGTTCTGTTTTGTTGGTATTTTTAGATGTTGATGAATAACAGGAAAGGTATGATACTTTATGAATGATGGTGTGTGTGTGCATAAAATCACTCTTAAGGGGATAACTCATCGGTAAAGTTACCGTTAGATATCTACGGGGTTTACACATCCACTTCAGGAGCCTCGCCATTTGTCAGAATACATGACTGATTCTTGCGGACAAATCGTGATGTGGCATTTGTTCTTCCAGGTATTTATACAACATACAATAATTTCTACAATTAGGTTTACCAGGATCATATTTACATATATGTTGTATTCATGTGGAAAGTCTTAGCTATTGTGTAAAATAGTAAGTGATAGAATGGCGGGTTTCACGGACGCCGTCACCGGTTATGACGTTGTCAGTAATTTGCTATTAGATAAAACCAGGAATTACAGTTGTAAATAGGTTTGATATATGTAAAAATTCGAAGGATGGTAAGTTTCATTGATTTATTTGTTATTTTAATAAGCCAAATACTTGCAAGTGCAAAGCAGATAATCTGGATCGAGTTATCCCCCTGTCCGCTAGGTATCGTAAAATCAAGATGGCTGCGCCCACGGTTGTTGAATCGTTATTGTTAACGCTCATTAGTGTTTACACTGATTATGGTTCTACAAAGGCAAAGTACATATATTTTGGGTTGAACATCATAAACGACAAGTGCTTTGTTTACGCATATAATAAACTCTCAATATTTGTTAGATTGAATGAATAATAAAACTTTTCAGTCGATGTGCTTAAACATTTAAATCATGATGTTTTTTTATGAATTATAATGTGTAGTTTCATAACATGTAATGTTATTATCTTTAAATATCAATGTCACTGTTTATAAATTCATTATAAATCATAACAGTAGTAACTAAGTTGACCACGGTGCCTTTGATGCAATGACTTAAAGAGTTATAATTACATAAGTAGTTATAATGCAAACAAGTAATGATAAATATGTCATAATCACCAAAATTAATTGCTTGTGTAATTATCATTTTATGCATTTGTAATTAAGTTTGATAAGTTCATGATTAAGGTTAAGATACAAGCAAGTTGAAGTTGTTTTATTTTATTGTGTAGAATTCTTGTAACTTTCATGGAGAAATAATACCCCTAGACGATAATCATTGAAAGTATTGTGTAAAGATCAGTACAGCATGCTGTTGAAATAAGATTGTACTCAAGTACTAATGTATACCCTGTCATGTACTTATTGTGAGTGTCACTCACACCCCTTCAGGAGCCTCGCCATTTGTCAGAATACATGGACTGCCTTGCGAACCATTTGTCATTTAGAATACATGATGTGATATTTTGTATGGATTAAACTTTACTTTTTAATTTCTCTCCGCAACATTCCAGGTCATCAGTTCACCTGATGAAGGGACCTGGAATGTCATTTGTTCTAATCATAAACTTGGACAAAATCTTGATATGTCATTTGTTCTTCCACCTACCCACACACCTACCTGATATCAATGAACCCGAGGGATGCAACATTGTTATACAATTACCTGTATCATTATGTTCACAATATTCCAATATCTCTTAAATTATCCAGCCCTATTAACCACTCTAATTCACGAACAGGGAACGTAACTCGTATCTTCTGACTAACAAAGTGAGCGAGTGAGGTTTTACGCGCTTTCAGAAATATTCCACATGCTTCCAAGTATAATAAATCATTTTTGTGTTTTGTAATGTCATCGCCTGCTTGACTTGGAAATGTACGAATTCGTTTTTCCAACAATGGCTTTTCAAAAGAAAGCATCAGCTGTTAATGTCTCCATAACAAGCGTTGACCAATCAAAGGGCTTGCTTCGACCACACCCCCGTTGTGTGCGGACCTATCGTCATCCATTTGTGATTACGACGTTCAGTTGAGGGTCAAAATCGGCTTTCAATAGACTAGGCACACAAGAAATGGCATCACAGATGGTGTCGAAATCGAACCCCGGCACCATTCTAAACTATTTTACCATTAGGCTACTTTCACCAAGTGGAGGGGATAATAATGCTTCGTACAAAGATGCTTCTGTTTTCCAGTTCTGGTTTTCAACGAAAAGCGCCAGTACTGCGACTGGGCCTACAATGTTGAAGCGCCATGTGGTTCTCACGTGGGTGTGATTGGCTAACAGACTACATCCGGGTGTCACAACTACCACCATTCGTCGTTATTGTTACTGAATGTCATATCAAGCGTTTGAATGTGGATGTCGATCCTTTGGTATCCAAAGCTTAGGATCAAATAAAGACTTTTAAGCATATGTGTTTTATTTAATGTCCCCATGAATACATAAATGTACGCATGCCAATACATGACAAGGAGGAGTGAGTAGTTTAGTTTTACGCCGCAAGCAACATCCCAGCTATATGGCGGCGGTCCGTAAATAATCGAGTCTGGACCAGACAATCCAGTGATCAACAGCATGAGCATCGATCTGCTCAATTCGGAACCGATGACATGTATCAACCAAGTCAGCGAAACTGACCACCCGATCCCGTTAGTCGCCTTTTAGGACAAGCATAGTCGCCTTTTATGGCCAGCACATGGGTTGCTGAAGGCCTATTCCTACCCCGGATCTTCACGGGTCACATGACAAGGAAGAACCGCCAATGGATATTGCTTTTAGCAATATTCCTGCAACATCACAGCAGGGGACACAGAAATGGGCTTCAAAACACTGTACCCATGTGGGGAAATGAACCCGGCCCTTCGGCGAACGAGACGAACGCTTTCACCACAGGGCTACCTCATCGTCCCTTCACACAAACGACATGGAACAATTATAGTTAGGAGACCAAAGAAAAGAGACATTAAATTGCGGCGGTTACCATGTATTCATTGTTGTCATGCTCAGCTATATTCATGCTCCATGACCGCAGTCTGTAAAGGAGACATACGCAATTGGGATGGAATGACATGCACCAATCTAGTCAACGAGCGTGACCAACTCCTTCCGTTAGTCGCCTCTTACGATGACACACACAGTCAAAGGGGTTTAACTTTCTTAAATAGAAGCGACAAAACCCTTCCACATCCATAAAGAAATATCAGGTAAAAGCAGAGTACATTGTACAATTGTGATCATATCACAAGTATATATAGTATATATTTGATTCATCAGTAATGTTGAACCAGACAATCCAGTGATTGTCACCAAGCAATACGATGACAGCATGTGTTTATGAATCACTATGAAAGTGATGATACCAGGTGTATCCTGCCCCACCGGTGGCAAACGGCATAAACATATGCTAAGTCAAGGCAATTAATTGTTCACCAGAATTAATTCGGGAGGTCATTCTACCACAGCGGGCAAAACCATGTCTTAATGGCTTTTTAAAAAATAAATTTCTTAAGATTTAAGTAAGTTTCATAAAAATGCAATAATGAAATCCCTGCATTTTCATATATACCAGTAATAAAAAAATTATATCATGAAACATTTGTATTAATTTAATCATTTCGACACAATAAGCTGTTTTTTTAATATGTGTAGACCACATTTTTTTTACATATAACGTCGATATTACCACTGTCTTGTTAAAAGCCCTGAGTAAGACGAATAACCTTTTATCCTTTAATAACAACACTTTACCAAATAACAGTGTCAATACCGGAACACCCTATTTGCTACGCCCTGTGACAAAGGGAGGTAACTCTACTAGTTAAACATGGATGACATGATGGCTGCTTGTACCAGTGGAGAAGTAGAACATGTCGAATTACAACATAAACCGGGCTGATGAACGAGTATGTTTATTCATTGTCATTACCGCAGACCATCAATCCGAAATCTTCAGTGAATACAAATGAAACAAAACATCAGTGTGATTAGAAATGGTCTAAGCTAGCTAACAGGGAGTTCATGGAGGTGGTGAAATGTATGTTTGCTGAGTAAGGCCCTTTTTTTTATTAATTGGTTTACGGATCCGCCGACCCTAATATTTGGCAATGGCAAATAAAAATAAAATTTCAATGAGAAGAGTTTTTTATTACCGCCGAGTCCTGGGTATCAAAACCTACATTAAAAAAAAAGATCGACTGAAATACCCGATATTAAAATCAGTCATCTATCTGCACTGGTTCAGAAATAAATATTTCACTTGTAGAAAAATCGCGGGCACGACTACGAATCAATAACAATGTCTGGAAACACTTATTACATTTCAAATGACCATATATTATCGACAGAATTAGAAATATAAGATATTTTTCGCAATGTTATTGAAAAAACGATTCTCGGACACATGCTTCGGCAAACGGGTCCACATCAAAGTTGTCAAAGAACAAAGTAACGATGTTTCGAGATAATAATTAAACAAATTGAATAAACTGAAGAATATATTCAATAACAGTACTCATAAAAGTTGTCAAACGTACATTATAACTTACTATTTCCATCTTTATTGTGCGATCGTGTAATGTAATTCAAGTGACATCTCGGCTTTCGTCGCCTCGAACTTCGCGCTCGGACACGATGTTTAATGCTAAAATATATGCATGAAGCATTTTTGTCACAGGTCATAACCTAGCACGATACGTCCATTAAGGTCATAATATACGCATAGGTAGTGATCTTGTGCGTAACACGTTCGGAATAGCATGATTTTACCCAAAACTTTCATCTGAATCTAAAAGTTTTCCTATACGAGGACGGTATCCATTGCTGTAGTATGATTGGCTGCCTTAGGTCACGTGTGTGATTTTGACCAATCACGATCCTCGTAGCAGACTATGACAGAAAAGCGTCATTAGAAACCAATCTTTATCCAATAAAATCGCTTCTTACAACTGTGAAAATACTCTTGGCAAGGGTACAGTGATATTGTTGATGTTCAGAGCTTCGAACGATACCCACCATCAAACGAATGGCCTCACATGTTTTTCATACGAAGCTTCGAAAACGGAGGTATTTCCCATTGTTGTATCACGTTACCGAGCGGAAAGCCACTGGTATCGGGAAATAGACGACCATACATATTATTTGAGAAATCTGTTTGTAATAGTTTTCCGATGACGTAAACATGAAAATATAAAAGAAAAACGTAAGGGGATAATTATGACATGTTACAAATGGAAAAAATCGCCGCATTTTTTGCTTCCTTCGTTGTTTATCAGGACCTTATAAATGTGTAAGCTTGCATTTTCATTAAATAATAACTTATTTACGTTGCAGTTGTATTATTTGAATAATATGATCATATCCATCTGTCATGACTGAATTAAATTATGCCAAAACATATTGTGTGTTTGTTTGTTATGATACCACACCTCTGTCAAATTAATTTTGGTTTATTAACGATTGAAATTTGAGGACTACCAAAATTGTTACTACTGTGGCGACGATGATGCGGCCATTATGTGAAACATGTCTGCAGACTGGAAAGCAGCCTGCAGTGCCAAATGCCCTAAAAGTGGGACCAAAGAAGAAAGTCATTGATTTCTGCATTTTGTAAATAAATAAGCAACAAGTCAAAGACGACTGGGCAGTATTAAAGTCAGTAGTGAATATGTCCCTTGTTTGTACTTTCATTTTATTAAATATAAAGGATATTTCATGTTTCCAGTGCAATATCAGTTACCTCTCATCTCATAAGGGAGAAAGGCTGATATTTGAAGAGATATTACACTGGAAACATGACAAATCCTTTACATTCGATGCTTCAAAGATGGAAAAGAGGCATGTCCAGACTGTCCATACCATTGTTGCACTGTCACCAAGCAACGACTATTAAATGATGTCAGGTTGATTGTAATAGTGAGGTACCGCATTCTACAGGTGATGTCAACATATTTTTGAAAACTCAGTCATTCACTCTTATGATTCACAATAATTATTCTTCTCTTACAATATCAAAATTTGGATTATTTTTTTTAATAAAAATGTTGAGACAAACACTTTTAATTTTATTTTTATTTTTATTTCGACCACCGACCCTAGTTATTTTGGAAAAAAATCCGTAAACCAATTAATTAAAAAAAAACGGCCTAAGGCCATAATTCCACAACAGATCTAACTGACTGGAAGAGGTTAAAGAAATTTCAGTTATGACTCTTCATAAGATTATAATAAGAGTATTAACCTCGTGTGTTTCCGTATCATTAATATGATATATTAGGAATAAAAAAATGTATGTATATGTACTTTTTATTACAGGTATAATTCGCCACATCAAATCTACAACATTGACGACAAAGGAATAGTGGAAAATCACAGCCCTCCGTCAGCTGTGTCATCGAGTCAAACGACACCATACGCCGTCACCAACCCTAGATCAAACACAACTACAGTTATAGGGTGGGGCAGTGCTTCCGGGGCCGTAGTACCCCGTTTTTCGTCTTCAAGGGAAAATGAATGCGTGAGGAATATTTGGAAGGGTCGACACCCGGAACCTCAGGCACCGTGTTTGATTCTGGTTGGTCGAACAGAGATTTTTCATCATTATCTTGAGCATCACTTCTTGAAGGCTCCGCGTCAGCGACTCCTGACAGTCCCTAACATATTGTATGTATGCAGCCACCTACCTACCAAGAAAAAAATAAAAGAGGTAAGATAATAAACCCAAAGAAAATCAACACCTACAGTTAGTGTACAACCTGTTCAAAGTACGTCGGGAATTGAAGTTTGTCGACAAAATGAAAGTGTCTTCCGATTCCGACACTGATATTACAGACGTCGAGGTGTGTTGTCAGTGTAACAAATTAACCCCTGAACAAGTGATGGGATGTGGTACCGTCGTGTTTGTGTCATGGGTCCAGTGTACTCACCCTTCACGCTGTCATTGGGTCCACCTCAAGCTGTGCACCCCCGTACGTGTTGTGAGATCTTCTGATGAGTTTTGGTGCCCTTGTCACCACGAACCGGAGGAGTGAAACATTGCTTGGACATGTGATGTAACTAGCAACAATTGTTCACGATTAACTTTGACATGAAATTATTACGACTACAGTTTCTAATCATTATTATTGGAAATATTACAAAGATTCGTTTTGGACTGGACGGTTATCAACTTTATATAGTGAAAACATCAGCATAGCACGTATACTGTTATTAGAGTTATGTTTTACGGAGAACCAATGAAGTGAACGAAAACAGATGACGTCACTTCCGCATTCTCGATCTTTGCATAGCGAAGTATGAGACCTGCGGTGCTGTTGATACACGAGGTAAATCCGTCAGAGGTTTGGATATCATAATATATAACAAACAAACGAGGCAGGATCGTTTATTATCGATTTATTCATGCACATTATGTTA